AGTGGATGGGGGGAGAGGGGTTGTTACTTTGTGAGGGTGAAAAGGGTAACTATTGCATTGTTCTGTACACCTGAAACTAACAATAAAAAAAAAGAAAAAAAAATTAAAAAAAAAAAGAAAAAAAAAAAAGAAGAAATGTCAGTGTGAGACACATCGGATCTTTACTGAACACACATATCTTTACTGAAGAGTATTCATTTAAAAAACTCAATGTATTTGGATAATTGACGTTCAGCAATTGCTTCTGCAGCCCCCAAATCCCTTAGCCAAAGACTCTGTGTTTCACTTTAGAATTTTGGGTACTGTAGAGAGGCACACACTGTGATTCATACACTGATTAATACCCACTGCAAGCAGAGCGAATCTTGGGTGCATTTGCTCAACATCATGTCGGTTTCCTGTAGGGGTTATGATACATCTTCCTCTCAGAGGTTTTCTTTTTTTTTTTTTTTTGGAATTTGGAATTATAGATGAAAGAGCATTGACATGTATTAGTAGTAAAAGTTGGCACAGACAGCAGATAGACCCAGATGAACACTAAAAAAATGAGAACAGAGACAGTATTCACAAAACGTTAAGGCTGGAGAATGAGTGCTTGATTCAGACTTTTTATAAATGGAGACATAGGCCTCCTGGGAAGAAAGAGGATGCAGGGTCTTTCCTCCTGGGGGAGGCTGATGGCAGTGAGGTCCCCAGCCAGGGAGGTCACTGTGGGTAAGGTTGACACCAGCCAGAGCATGGCAGTAGCGTCATGGGGGTGAGCCCGGACACAGCATGGTGAGCAGGTGCTCAGGTACCCCACAGCATGACTTTACATGACTTGAAAACATCTTCAGATCCAGTGTGAACATGTGTTTGAGAGAAAGTGGTTCCAAATGAAAGAAAGAAAGAAAGAAAAAATCAGAGATGTATAAATATAGTGTGGTGGGCAGAATGGTCCCAATGAGGTCTGGGTCCCAGTGTCAGGGACCTGTGAGTATGTTCCTTTGCATGGCAGAGGGGACTTGGCACATGTGATTAAGATCAGAAAGATTGTCCTGGACAACCCAGGTAGATGCAGTCTAACCACGTGAGCCCTTGAAGTAGAGAACTTTCTCCAGCTGGAAGCAGAAGAGGAAATCAAAGAAATGTGACAGAACAAGAATACAGAGAAGTTTGAAGGTCAGAGGAACTCTACTGGGGCTGCTGAAGGGGGCCACAGAAAAAGCGCTAGACGTGCAAACCCCCTAGGAGCAAAGGCAGCCCCAGGAGTCAAGGTTTCAGCCCTCTAGCCAAGCAGAAGTGAGTGGGTGTGAGCAGGAGAGTCAGCAGGGCAGGCCTGACTGCTGTCTTCCGAAAGGCCTGCTTACAAGGCCCGTTCCCGAGACCCTAATGAGAAGAGCGGGCTGCTGTGCCCAATGTCTGTGCAAATGGTGTGGTCTCTCTGAACACTCACCTTCCTCTGGGTGTCTGGAGTTTGGGTGCTTGCAAGGCAGAGGATGCCTATGTGAGCAGCCCTGTAAGCACCTGGTGCTGAGTCTCCACTGCGTGTCATTAGAGACTCATAGTTGGCAGCACTTCACGTGGGTTGCTGTAATTCATGCTGGGGAATTCAGTGCGTTTTGCGTGACTCCACTGGGAGAAGCCTGTGGAAGCCTGAGCCTGGTTTCCTCCGGACCTCACTCCGTGCACCTACGCCTATGCCTTTGATCATTTTGCTCTGTATTCTTTTGCTGTAATAAGTCACAGTCATGAGTGTGACTACACACTGGTCCTGTGGGTCCTCCTGGTGAATCATAGAACCTGAGGACAGCCCTGGGGATTTCCCAGACACCTGGAGAAGTCTTCCCCAGGAGCTCCAGGGAAAAAGCAATGCAGCCCTGCCAGCACCCTTGGCAGAGGACCCAGCCACGTCTGCAGACTTCAGACCCACAGACACTGACAGAACTCTGTCCTGTAGTGGGCCATTTAAGGGTATGGTGGTTTGTCATAGCAGCAATAGGAAGCCGAAAAAGTGGCAATGTGATGAATGCATAAATTACTTTCACTGAAAGAGAGTGTAACTCTTTCAAAGATTTTTTAAAATCTTAAATTCACTCTCAAGTTCATGTCAGCAATTCATTTCTAAAATAACCACCTGAAGAATGGGTGGAGCCTCTGCTAAGGTACATGGTTTATTAAAAGACCAGCTGACTCTGTATGAGAGGCTGGAAAGCAGCCAAGTCAGCCTGACCTCAAAGAAGCTGTAAGTATAATGGTCATAATTATCCACTGGTGAGATTCACCGCCGCCCAAGTCAGTGTCCAGCCAGGCCCAGAGTAAAAGATAGATCCACTGAGGCCGTGGTGATAAATTCAGAAAATACAAAGATTTTCCTTCCCTAAAGGAGTTCAAAACATAGGAAGGAGAAATACCCATGACCGAGTTTCAAATACCGCTGAGCTGAGACGAAGGACTACAGAGAAGAGCAGAGCAGGGAGCTCAAGGAAGGCCAGCCATAGACCCCACACATTGCTTAATTCAGTAACAATCTCCTGACTTTGTGCTCAGTCCCAGGCACCGTGAGGTGTTTGGGCATGCAGGGAGGGAAGGCGGCACCTCTGTTTAAGTAAGCTGAGTGGGAGTCGGAGGCAGCCACTTCACCAGCCTTTGCAGCGTGGCTGACAAGATTTGGGGATTTGCATGTGTCCTCACCTGCATAGTCTAGAACTAATAATGCCACTATTCCTGACACTACTGCCCTGGGCGCCTGATTGACAAATGATTGCTCTTAGATATGGTCCTTCCAATTTGTTTAACTGAAAGTCAATAATTCAATAAATTTTCATTTATTGGGATGGGAGGGCAAAAATATAAACCTTAATTAATACAACTAAAAATAAGCATGCCTTAACTACTAGTTACTTAATTTTAATAATCAATTTTAGTTGTTTGTTTTATTTGTTTTTATCAATATTTAGTTTTGAACAAAAGTTCTTTATATAAGTGCTTCATTAAGCTTTAACTTTTAGTCTTGTTTTAATTTATTAAATTTATTGGGGTGACAATGGTTAGCAAAATTATATAGGTTTCAAGTGTACAATTATAATACATCATCTATATGTTGGATTATGTGCTCATCACCCAGAGTCAGTTCACCTTCCATCACCATATATTTGATCCCCTTTGCCCTGTTCTACCAGCCCACTCCCCTCTTACCCTCTGGTAACCACTGAACTGTTGTCTGTGTCTATGAGTTTTTCTTTCTGTTTGTTTTTAATTAATGTTTATCTTAACCCCAGACTTTGTGCTCTTAGAATTAGCTCAGCATTAATATCTACTTCTGACCATACACATGGCAACTGCTTGTTTGGGAACGTTAAGTCAGCCAGCCCTACAGACACAGACAATTTCCCTCCCATTTTGTTCTTTCATCTAGTGTTAGACAACTAACTACTTCTTGATTCAATTTACATCAACATTTATTGATGAATTATTAAGAGCTCCTGAGATAAACAACAGACTGCACTCTATTAAATTGTAATAAGCAACAGAGTTATAAGAAAATTCAAATGAGGGTCAATTGATAACCAACAAATATCATTTCATCACCTGTGCAAGGAAGACAAGCAGTATGCTAGGAAGTAATGACTTTTCAGCTGATACTGTTCCTTTTACCATGGCAATTAAGAGAAAACATTGTAAATAGTTACAAAACATCCTTAGCCTTAATTAAATGGAAGCTAAACTGTATAATTTTTTATTGTGGTAAAATACACATACCATAAAATTTACCATTTTAGCCATTTTAAGTGTACAGTTCTGTGGCATTAAATACATTCACACTGTTGTGCAGCCATGTCCACCATCCATCTCCAGAACTTTTCATCTTCCCAAACTGAAACTCTGTCCCCATTAAACACTGACTCTCCAATCTCCCTCCCCAGGCCTTGGCAATCATCTAAACCATATTTTTAATAACAAGAACAAAGTAGTTTCATCTCTACCTGGCCAATCCTTAGGTCACACCCCCTCCACTTGCACCCCTCCCCCCGCCACTGCAAATACTGTGCCGATGCTTGCAGCACTGTACTCTGACAGCCTCTCATTCAGAGCATACTGTGATTTACAGGTGTAAAATGATAATAACTATGTAACTTATTACATAAATTTTAACATTCAAAAAGTTTAGCAAACAAAATTTAAATCTTCTGAAAGAAGCATGGATATATAAGCAGAAGGAACTATGTCACTGATGCAAAATACAGTTGACCCTTGAACAAAGTGGGGGTTAGGGGCGCTGGCCCCCCTCACACTTGAAAACCCACATACAAATTTTGACTCCCCAAAAACTACAGCTGTCCCCCGGTATTTGCAAAAAATTGGTTTTGGGACCCTCATGGATACCAAATCCCACAGATGCTCAGTCCACTTTGTAAAATGGTGCAGATCCATGCACAGTCAGCCCTCCACATCCACAGACTCCCAGCCATGGATTGAAAACAATACAGGTATTTATTGAGTCAGCTGTAATTTAAGGCAGTTATGACTTCCAAGGACCCCAGAGATCTAGGACTCATGAATCACAAGGGGCCACATGGTGCCCGAGTTCCTGGGGGGACAGCACTTGTGTCCCTCATCACATCCTCCACAAGGACACTCTCTATTATGTGTATTTTTAAATGCCCGGGTCTTTCCGAAATCTCACTTAACCAAGGACATAGAAGAATGAATTTACTTTATTAAACAATGCTGAGGCAACTCAAACTACTGTCTTATTCAACAAAAGTAAAGTAGCCTATATGTGACTTATTTATTCCCTAGACTGTTGAAAGGAATAATGGGAAGACTTTTTCATGTTTCAATATATTACTAATTGTTTTACTTTTACTTATTTCATAGACTATACATAGCCAATGTGTTTTAAAATGTCCTATGTCTTACATTCACTCAAAAACATTTTCAAGTGATTTAGGAGGCTCCTTTTCTATATATAATCTGATATGTTTGCTGTAACATGCTCTAATGACATAATTCATACTGGGATGGACTGCTTTTCAGTAAAGACATACCAAGAGGCTTTCTTCTCGCTGATACTGCTTCCAGTTCCTCCCACCATCACTGAACATAAGGAGGTAGCTGGTCACCCAGTTGGAGCTCCCATATCCTCCCTGGGTGGCCACAGCAGTGACCTCCATTCTCTCTCCAAGGTCAATCTGCAGCCACTGGTATTTATCTGACACAAGTGGGCTCCAGCCACCAGCTCCTTTTTGTGGAAATAGAAACAAGAAAAAATGGTAAGGAGAAAGAAATATTTAAAATCTATATTAGCTTATAATATTTATTATATTATATAAGCTAATTATTATATCACATTATAATTAGCTTATGTGAACATAAGTGAAATTTGTGAAAAGCATAGTTTCAAACTCTGGAATATCTAATGCCTCATAATTACACACACACACACACAATCAGAACACAGACTAAGTATAAATGGACAAAGCCTAACTAAGTGCTTTAGTTTTAGCTCCTAACTACTGACTCCCTGGGGTTTCAGGATCCCACTACATGACAGTACTTAATGTGACTGGTGGATACCACACACCATGCCATCACATCAGTGCTTGGAAGGAGCGTTTTTACTGACCTTCATGCATGATTGCCCTTTGCTGGGTGGACACAAAGGAAAATATTCAGACTGTGGTGGGCCTAGAAAACCTTAATTCTGGATTCCTAACATTAGGAAGCACAGTGTCGCGTGCTGGGCTAACAGCTGTTATGGCACCCCCTAACCTCACGGTGCTTACAGACTCAGAGAGAAGCAGACAGTTCAAAGAACAACTCCAAGTGTGATGTGGCAGGGGTGGAGGTGAAGGGGGTTTCTGTGCAGGGACAGAGCCTCTGAGAGGGCTGTAGGGAGGGAGAGAGAGCCTGGATGGAGTGGATGAGAAATATTCCTCAGGGATGCAAGACAACAGGTGCCGAGCAGAAATCTGTGCTTTGTCTGTGAGATACAGAAGAATGGGGGCATTTGAGGATGTATTGCTGATATATTTTTTTCTTCCAGTGTAATGAAAACATGAGTTTTGAATTTAGATTTGTCAACTTGAATTTTCTAATTTTAAATTAATATAAAATATAGGCTGGCTGAGTGGTTCAGTTGGTTAAGAGCTCGCTCAAGAGTTTGAGCTCTGAGCAACAGCGGTTCGATTCCCGGCCTGAGCTGAGCAGCCACTGAGCTGCCAACAGGTGGCAGGATGGCTCAGCTAAAAAAAAAAACAACAATAAATATATAAAATATAAAAATTAGGAACTAAATTTGAAAATCATTCTGAAACTGATATTTTGCTAATTATCCATATCTAGAAAACAACAGTGTTTTGGAAACAATCCCTAATATGACAAAATTAGCTTTAAAAAAAATTCCCCCCACTGTTTTGACACTTAACTTGTGGCTCTGATAACAAGGGCTGACACTTCAGATCAAATTTAATATCTGTTTGCTAAAGCCATTAGGACTGAGCCCAGTGGGGGGGCCTATGTCAGAAGGTGTGTGACATGGTTATAAGTTGGCTCATGGGAAAGGGGAGTGGCACTCACACCAGGACATGGAAACACCACTCGGAGGTGGCGCATCTGTTTCCTCATCATGTTCTCTGTCAACAGCACAACATTTGTAAAATCTAAAGCCACGTTACTTAGAACCCAGATTCTTTCTAAGGTTTCCTCATTCTCTGCATTAAATCTCTGTTCAAATATTCAGTATTTTCCTTTCATTGTACCATAAGCACAGTGTCTATTCCTTTGATCCAGAAACTTAAGTATGTTGGCCAGCTGAGTGGCTCAGTTGGTTAAGAGCTCGCTCAAAGGTTTGAGCTCTGAGCAACAGCGGTTTGAGTCTGGCCCGAGCTGACCTGCCGCTGAGCTGCCAACAGGTGGCAGGATGGCTCAGATAAAAACAAAAAACAAACAAACAAACAGAAACTTAAGTATGCTGCGATTTCGGTTGTTCTGTAAGGCATCTTTTAACTTTACATTTTGAAATAATTCCAGATTTACAGAAGAATTGCAAGGATGGTATAGAGAATTCCCAAATGCCTTTTATCCAGTTTCCCTGACCTTAACATTTTATATCACCACAGTATTGTTACCAAAATCAAGATATTAACACTGGTACAATATTAATGAAATGACAGACTCTATTTTGATTTCTCCAGCTTTTCCATTAACTACCTTTTTCTGTTCCAGGATCCGACATTGCATTTAGTCTGTGTCTCCTAAGTGTCCTCCAACCTGTGACAGTTTCTCAGTCTTGCTTTGTCTTAGATGACAAGATTAGCTCTCACCCAACATCTTTCTGCCTACTTCTACTGTTTTGTCCAGGGTCCCATCTAATGTTTGATACATGGGAAGTCCTTCTGCATTCTAGCTGGGATTGAACTAATAGACTAAGGTAGCATTACCCAATAGCTGCCCATACTTTATAATTACTGCCCCCCAAAAATTAAAAAGCAGGTGTTGGCCTTTAGCTGATCATTTGAACTTGGAGGTTCTACATTTGAAAATTTATATGAGTCAGTTTAAATCTCTGAGAAACTACTAAATGTCCTGTGGCTTGTTCCTAGTCATTAGTATTAAAGTTCTAAAAAAATGTACTGATACACTTTTTTGCATTTCACAATATTTTTCAGCCATCTTTGATTGCTCAAAGCCAGAAGTCAGCATTAACGCAGGTACCACCTGTAAGTAAAAGGTATCAGCACATCTCCACCATGTGGCCCTGGGGCCAGTCTCTTCCACAGGTGTAGATAGCTCTCTGCCACCCACACTTGAATGCCTGCAGGTAATCCACTTGGAGTATTTCCCATCCCTTACCTGTGGTGAGGAGGCACTATAGGTATACAGATTGAGCTATCTGGTTAACTAAGGAAACTGATAAAGTAATGAAATTTCAGAACCCCTGTGCTATGGGGCAGCCCAGACCACTGCTGGCTGGTAACAGGATCTGCTGTGCACGCACTGATTTTTCTAACGTTTCATAAAATGTTGAATGCACAGACTGGGAAATACACAAACGCAACCTGAGGACTCTGAGGGCGCATTAAGCAGCTGACTGACTGGCCTGGCAACCACGCTGTACAAGGGAAAACAGAACAGAACAGAGCACACTGACAACGTGAGAAGCCGGGACTTGAGCACCGTGGCCCAACAAGCGAGCAGTGCAGATCATGGTTCTTAAACTGGTCAGCCTGCACTGCTAAATGCCACTGATCTTTCATAAACTCCACGTGGGAACCAACACCCCAGAAACAGAGCCCAGAGGTTCCTAATTACTGTTTTGGAGTCACCCAATGCTTAACCCACAAGAAAAGCACCTGCCCCACCCCAGCGCTTCCGCTTCCTACAGGGCAGACTGTCTTTGTTCACTGCCCCCTGCCTCTCTCCCTCTGCAGCCTCTTAGCTGAGTGAAGCATCACAATTTACACAAAGGAAAACACGTCCAGAGGGCCCAACTTGCACAGAACCAGGTTCCAGTGCCAGGGACATCAGCAAACACAAACTATTGTTCTCACTCTTAAGGAAAGCATGGCAGGTGCCCATCAGGGCAGCAGTGAGGATGCAACAAGCCCCGTGGAGCACCTAGCACTTTCCCTGCCATAACTTGTCATGAACACGGGGCGGGTGTCACAGCCACTGCTTCCAGGGGCAAGAGGGCCCACAGCAGGGTGCTGTACTTCTCGGTCATCTCACTACTCAACGGCTGATGCCTGCCACTCGATGCTAGATAAAGGCGAGAAAAACGACACATGCATATGATATGCTCAGGACCCTGCCAGAGCCTCACAATTCCTCCACACACCCAGCCAGCAGGACTGGTGCCAGTCTCTGCTTTGCAGCTGAAGAAAAAGCAGTTGCTTTAGGTTCTTGTGAGGCTATTTTCTTAAAGCTTAGCTCCCTTGTCATTCTCTACCCCTCTAAGAACACATCCCCACAGTTACTCAGCATTGTTTGCTGTTGATAACCAGGCTGTCTTTTATACTGATATATTGGGAGCTATATTGGAAGGTTTCTGTCTCTACTTATTGCTGTGTGATTGATTGGCTCAGACAGACAGTGACACTTCCTTGGGGAGAGAAAAGGCTCAACAGGAATCTCTCTGCTGGGGCCTTCATTACTCTGACCACTGATCATGACGACAGTGACCACTGCTCCTGGTGGCCATGTGACATGCTTTGTGCAGAGAGGGAAGTTACCCAGAGGTGAAAAGAAAAATAAGCTCATGCTTTCTTCAAGTTTCAACGTGACCCAGCACACAGACACCCAAGGGAGCAAAAGTCAAGGGGGTTTATTTGAAGTGAGCAGACCCCCACCCATCGGGAGAGCATCTACATGCCAAGTGAATATATGGCTAAATTGAAATTGTTGCCAAGTGAAGTTTCCCTCCAAGATGGTTACTACATTGTCTCACATCTCACCTAGCTAAGTGTGTTCCTTTCCCCACTCACATGTATTTTAATTCACAGAATTGTCATTAAAAGTTCTAGGTGGGGCCCAGAACTTCTGAGTGGGAAGAGGATGAGGGAAGCAGGAACCCATCACTGCTTTCCCCCTGAAAGATGACAGGTGACCCCAGGAGCTGGTGGGTTAGTGGGGGGCTCTGAGGATGCTCCCTGGCCTCCCTGCTCATTGAACTCTGGGCTTCCATGCTGAAGATTTTGTCAGACCCTGCTTATGTTGATGAGGGGAATTCAGGTATTTGCTTCAGTTCTGATTTCTTAGGCGGTGATTCTAGCTGTCTACATATAGTATTTCTGGCTCTCATGTTGTAGAAAAAGCAGAAACCCTGCCTGTGGACCTGGCCAGGCATGCTCTGGTTCCCCTCTGCCATGACTCTCCCAGCAGCTTAGGCAAGAAGGGCAGCCTCCCACCCAGTGCATCCACAGAGAAAAGTCACATGAGGCTGCCTAATTGTGAAAAGGCCTGGACTCCTATCTAAAATGCAAACATACCCTATACTGGCTTTATAAATGATTAAAAAAACAAGTGTATCATGATCAATTTTAGACTTGCATTAAATGCCAATAACATTGATGAAAAAAAAGCACATTGTGACCATTCATGGGTGACTCCCTGAAGCTCTGTGTGCAGCATCCCCAGGGACAAGTTCAAGTTCCAAGCAATGAACATTCACTATTGCAGCTCTTTCTCCATCAAATAAACAAAAATCTATTGATTCCATGTGTTTTGCTTTGCTTTCCCCAC